TGGTTCGCTTGCCCTACCGTTTCCCGCCTCTGCTGCTGGCTGAAGCCCTGCTGGATGTGCTCATAGGTCTCGGTTTTATTCCTGCCGTTGCTTTCTACTTCATAAAGCTGCAGGAGATCTACAACAACCCCATCTGTAAAGAGAGGGAAGCCATGTACAGCAGCAAAGGTCACAGAGGATTCGAGTGCAATCTCAACGGGGCAGACATAGCTGGAGGCTTGTTTGGTGTTCTGGGGATTATTATATTCCCCGTAAGCACCGCGTTGGCCATCAGAGGCTTCATACGAGTGCGGAAGATGAAGGAGAGGCCGACAGAAGACGACAACAACCTGTGAAGGTTACGCCATTTCATGAAGAGATTGAAATGTGGAAAGCACAGAAGGTCCTACACCAGTGTAAATGCTTTGGTTAGTATTTTTTACAGTATCAGAAGGATATGTATTTTTCCATTTTTTATATATATATATATATACACACACGTTTGCTTTCTTCCTAAGAGTTTTTATTATGTAATACTTTTTTCATATATTCTTCACAAACATTAGATTTGATTCATTAATTAAAAAGAAACACACAATATATTGAGAATGAGTTGAATTACACAAAATGAATTACTTTATTAGGGTTTCTGCAGGTTTTTAAAGTCTTTATTCATCCATCCACAAGTTATAAATTCATAGTCATGAGACTAAATGTTGCAAAAAAAAAAGTTTTCCAATAGAAACATCTAAACATCGTTTACTTGAGATGCAAATGTAAAAGTCTTAAAATATTTAACAAATTGAAGCGTTTATGCTTGAAACAAGAAATGTCAATGAGGTATGAAAACTGGTTTTCCCTTTAAATTTTGTTTTTCTGAGCCAGATATTTGTTTTAACCATAAACTCGCTTCATTTTGATCAATTTCACAGAAAACGTCATTTCGTTTCTCAAGTAAATGTATCATGATTGAAGAATCTTTAGACATTTGCACTGGAAAACAACAAAAATGAACACCACTCTTTTGCAGTGTGATCCGAAGGTGCAGTAAAAGTAATTTTCAAATTCTAGTTTATGTGAAATTAATTAAAAAGATGGAGATCAGTTGGAAGTTGTACTTTCAAACTTTTAAGTATTGCTAATACAACTCATTGTGTTTCTCTCAAGACTTTTACATTCAGAGAACATACTCGCCTTTAGTTGCCTTCAATTTATTTTCTACATTTTCTGTTTGGTCTAAAATTTACCATCTTGAAAACCTGCAGAAAGCAGGTTGTATGTATTACATAATGTACATACTCATTTAATTATGTCTGTATTATCTTTGGTGCCGATGAGCCTAGTTCACAGTTAGTACTTTAACATATTAAGCAAGATTATTTCCTTCTCTTTATATGTGCGTCTGTTACGCAACTATAGATATTAAAGTATTTTGAGACATGCATATGTTATGCGCAAATACAGTACATCCCATAAAGGACTTCTGAGACATCAAAGACACGTGTTTCACAGTAAAAAAATTTATTGCTACTTGGCTGAAAAGTTAATTAAAAATACAGCTTTCTGCTCAAAACTAAGCATAGCAGCATCTGAAATGAAACGATGAGCCAGCACCCACAGTCCTAGCTGACAGACAGCAAAAGTGCTCGCATTTAGTCCTTTTACTAAATCAGTAAAACAACTCAAATGATCTCCTAAACTAAAAACAATTCAATAATTTAACACAATGAAAATATTCAGCAGTTTACTGCATGCTAAATTAGAAACTTAAAAATATAATATACATTATGCTTCAGATATTAAAACAATTTTTTATAAACAGAAAAGTTCATTTTATACAAATAATCACATGATAATATAATCTTTATATATATATATTTATATTCATTTATATAGGGCATGCTTCTCACATTAAATACATGAATAATTAGTATCTTTAAAAGAGAGTACCTTGATGGGTGACAGTTTACCTTAGAACCCTTAAATCCTAGATTCTGCACTGGAGGACCTATAAATCTGCATGAAACTATGAAGTACAAAAATAAACCTCAGCTTCTTGGCATTGAGAGGAAATATTAAAGCATCTCTTAAAAACAAAATGTACATAAATGACGACTAGATCAAGCTTTGGTCACGTGTCAACAACAGGAACTTCGTCTCGATCCACGTCTGTCCGGAACGAACCGTGATTATGTGCAAAAATGTCAACGAATACGCCAGATAAAGATGCGTTTTTGCATTCAAAAGCAGGTTTCATCTCTCTCAGGGTAAAACCACAATCACACGCTTCATGCGCTAACAGCCACTCTCACACTGCGCAGATTTACAAAGAGACTTAAGTGCTTTCCTTGTGCAGTCAGATAAAAAAATTTAAAAAAAGGATGAAGCACGTTTCTATGGAAGCCCGTTTCCGCCACTGAATAAAAAATAAAAGAGGTAATTGCAACTTTATCTCACAATTCTGACTTTTTTTTTTCTCGCAATTGCGAGATAAAAAGTCATAATTGAGAGATATAAACTCGCAATTCTGAGAAATAAAGTCAGAACTGCGAGAGATAAACTCACAATTCTGATTTTTTTTCTCGCAATTGTGAGAAATAAACTAGCAATTGTGAGTTATAAAGTCAGAATTGTGAGATATAATATAATTGTCTCGCAATTCTGAGAACATATCAGTCTTTTTCCCCCCTCAAAATTGGACTAACTCGCAATTGCACATTTATATCACCCAATTCTGACTTTATAACTCGCAATTGTGAGAAAAAAAGTCAGAATTGCGAGAAAAAAAGTCAGAATTGCGAGATAAAAAGTCGCAATTACCTTTTTCTTTTTTTGGATTCAGTGGCGAAAACAGGTTACCATACGTTTCTGATAACCTCCCTGGGTGGTGGAGTCAGAACTTGGGAAAGCAGAAATATACCGAGTCGTTAAAGGTGATGTGTGTCATTTCCTACTAAATGGAAGTGCAGAAATGATCAGTTTTCAGTCAAGTTTATTGAACACTTCCCTCATCTGTCATTGGTTAGACAAACAGTTAGCCCCGCCCCTAAGCTTACACCATTGGTTGACACGGGTTGCCATGTTAAACAAAAGCACACACGGATGTTTTGATGAATCCAGAATGTTTACATTTTTTTTTTTTAGGAATGAACCTATGAATGGCTTGCTAGAAGTTGAGCTTGGATAAGGAGGTGTTATAACATAAAAAAAATAAAATAAAAAATCACATCACCTTTAACTTCTCAAATTGCTTGTCATTGTGTGAAATCATGTCTTTATCGTCTTAAAGGGAAAATCTAAATCATTGTAAAGCTTTCCTTTAGTTCTGCATAAGTGTTCACGAGTTGCAAAGCCAGTTATAAAATCAGAGAAAGTTACAGAGAATTCAGTAATGTGCACAACATGTATAAAGGAAGCTTTGCCTAACTTTTACCTGTTTTTAATAACTGGTGTTCAGTTAGAAACACTTCAAACTTGAACGAGAACATTTTCTAGTGCAATGCTAAAACTAAGACACCACTAACACAATGGCAAACAAAATCAACCTAATCACATTTAAAAAAATAAATAAATGTACGGTAATACTTAAAAGCTTTCATATATAATGCATTATAAATGTTGTTTTAATGCATTAATTATGCCTTGTAATGCACCTTACAATGCATTGGCTGAGCTTAAGAATAATTATAACCAGTTATAATAAATTATAATATTTATCTATTCATTGTTGCACATAATGCATTAAAACAAAGGAAAAACAACCTTTCAAAAAATAATGCATTATGCATACAGGCATCAAGTTAACTGTTATCAAAAATACTTCATGCTCCATGATAGAATATTAGAACCCCCAAAATGCCATATAAATGTTAAAGGTTGGGTAAGCGATTTTTCAAAAACGCTTTAGAAAACTGATTCGGGCCGACTAGCAAAACAAACTTGGAGCCAATCAGCAGTAAGGGGCGTGTCTACTCATGATGTGGAGGGAGTAGCAAAACAAACTTGTAGCCAATCAGCAGTAAGGGGCGTGTCTACTCTTGATGTGGAGGAGAGAGCTTTCAGTGCGCAAGACGGACATTAGCCGAGCCGAGCGACAGAAAGGTAGAGATGGTGGATAAAAAAACTAAAGAGGAAAACGTCTGCGGAACAAAAGAAGGCTTAAGGCAAGAAGTAGGACCCGTGTAAATATCGGATCAGCTTTCCAGCGCTGGAGAGAACTCAAGGAGCGGAGGCCTGCGATCAGACGCCGAGATTGCTTTGTTTCTTCTCGACAGGTTGCCTGGGTTGCGTACGTATGTGTGGGGCGGAGCTATCAGAATAGGGGCGAGACCCTTTTGGGGTAGGGGCGTGTTTGTTTTGGTGATTTCAAATGTCAACATTGGCTACCAGAAATCACTTACCCCACCTTTAAACTATAATTTTAAAAATCTAATATTTAATGTGAGCGGGAATATTTGTATAACTGTGCTTTGTGTTCTTCCTTTAAGTATATAATTAAAGGGATAGTTCACCCAAAATAAAAATTTCTGTTATTTACTTACTCTCATGTGATTCCAAACCTCTATGACACACTTTCTTATGTGAAACATAGAAGATATTTTGAGAAAAGTTGGTAACCAAAACAGTTTGGTTATCAACATTCTTCAAAATATGTTCTTTTTGTGTTCGCAGAAGGCAAGTTTGGAAAAACATAGTTACATAAATAATAATGTTGATTTTGGGGTCAGCTGTTCCTTTAAGAATCACCTCCACTGTGCCATTAACAAATGAATGTAAACTTAATGGCTATTTGAATAATACACCAAGGAAAACCGCATTTGGCCAACATTTTCAGGAATGTGAGTTTCAGCTCAACATGTTTTGGCCAGGAAAGCACAGAGCACAAATGTTTAAGGGATCTAAAATACAACATTTGTCTACGTGGCAAAGCAACTAGTATAGTTGCCTAGGCTGAAGAAACAATAGACTCTCCACAACAGAGCACTGCACTTGACACTCACAGACATACACAAATTTATGGATTTTCCCCAGTCCTGTTCTTCAATTTTCAGATTAATATTGACCTAATCAGACACGTATGATTGTTGCATATATAATTTTTAAGTATGATGCAGATATGCACCATGTTGTAGGTCTATAGAAGGTGCTCTCGAAGTGGTAATAAAGTGGCTGTATCAGTAGGTTTAAAATACTACTTTCCATTTCTGTTTTTCTTTCAATGTTAAAGCACTGTGAGGGATGAAACGCTTCTATAGCTAATAACAGACTTAGACTACATCTTGCAAACAAAGCAAGCCATCAAGTGCTTGTACTCTGCCTCTTAGCACAGTATGAATCAGCATGTTGTGCCTCAATAACCACATCTCGCCTTTCAACCAAACATAAGAAATGACATTTTTCAGGGGTAAAAGAGGCCACAGATCAAAGCCTTATGATGATTTTATATGCATTTCAACAATAGCTAAAATGCAATTCTTAAATATGTCTATGTATATAGATTCTCTGAGCTATGTACAAAGTGCTTATACAGTGTAAAACCCTTTTACTTTATAAGATTGTACAACAATACTTGATGCACTTAAGCATACAGCTCTAAATGGTTTAGGGAATCTAGAGATCAATTTCTAGAAAATTGTACTTCACATTTTTGAGTGCAAAAAAGAGAATTGGACTAGAAACACTAAAGACTGTGGAAAACCTGCTTTAAGGCCATGATAGAAAGACGAAGAAAAAATGAGTAATGCAGGGCTGCTGCGTCCATGCCACTGGCTTCAGCTCTCAGTAGCACCCGAGGGACAAAAACGAAATACTCAAAATAACCTACCTTCCCTTCAAGTAGCACTACTACGTATCTTTTGGCACAAGAGCTACAGTTTCAGGTCTGTCGGCAATTATAATTAACACAAACATCTCTCTAATGCTTGAAGTTAATGGCAGTAAAAGTTCAACTCAAAACCTTCCTGGATGTTAAATACGGGGATCCAGATTAGTTACATGGCAGCTTTTTCTCCTACATACAGCAAACACAAATCTGTATGCAAGTTTGGCACAACGAACATTGCCATCTGACCATGGAGAATATCATAAAAAAAAAAAAAAAAGGAAACCACTCAAAATGTCAATTTATAAAGGTATAATTCACAAAATTAATCTCTTTAATCTTGAGGTGACATGGTTTAAACGTAATATCTGAGCATGCAACAGACTTAAGTTCAATTTCAAGTTGATGATCTACAAATTCAAGTACTGATTTTTTTTAAACATGCCAATGCCGAGACGTCTATGAGATTCAATTTCTATATTTGAAGTGCATCAGTGTCAATGTGAACTGTTGCTTCCTTTCTAAAGACTATGAATGAATTGAATCTAATGAATTATGAGAGTGCACCTAATAATATAAATTTAATCCAACCGATGCCCTACAATTGGCAAAATAAAAAAAGGACTTTTAATAAAATCATTAAATTGAGTATCAAACAATTGGCTTTGCACTTGATTTTCCCTAATTTTAATTCTCTAATTCTTTATAAATTTCATTTATTATTATTTTTTTTAAAAAGTTTGAAATGTAATGAGTTGTGTAAAAATAACTTAATTCCAGGGAAAACCCTGAAAAAACAACATTATTGTTTCCAATAAACACCACTAGATGTCTCCTCAAACCGTGAGCACAGTGTTTTACTGCTCAGAATTCCCTGACACTGTGATCGTGGCAATGACCAACTCAAATGACCCAATATAGTCTCTTTCCTCAGGTCTCCTGATTCAAATAAAAAACAAACTCAAACCAGCCTGTTTCCTTATACGGACCATGCATGGCTAAAATAGAGCACACATACCCACACACACACTGCACAATACATAAATCATATACCCAGTACCTCTCATACAAAAAAAAAAACTAAATGTCGGCTGATCATTTTTTCCTTGATTATGAGATAATGAGAAAATATCCCAACCTCACTCAGATCAACAGCAAAACCGCACTACTACAAAGACCCAATGACGTATTCACGGCCCAAGGCTGTATAGCATGGGCTCTGTCATGTAGTCATGGCACACTCGAAACTTCAAGTACTCTAAACAACCCGAGAGGTTGTGAGGTCTTTTTGCTCCCCAAATGACCTTAAAGGTGTGGCGATGCTTCCACTGAGCATTGGATGTAGTTTCTGTCTCCATCTCACTCTGACCTCCATCACTAGACCGATTCCCTCTCTAGGGTTTGAATGTTACGTTGGGTTCATTGTACTCTTCTATTGTGCAGAGGGTCCCAGAGACCCCCATGGCTTTGTCTGGGAGAACCTGTATGCATACAAGAGAGGAGATCTGGAGCGGCGGAGAACGTTCTGGTCTTTTTCAACAACACATCTTTCCACAACAACCACCACTCCTTTCCATGAAATGGAGCGGGATGTTTCCAGCAGGTCAGATGGGGAAGAAATCCGTCTGAAATATTCCTCACAGACTTCAAAAGTGCAGATTACCGACTAGTCGCCACTATGGGAAGGTAGAACAACACTGCACTTACACCAGAACAGTAAAGGCTCTCTGAACCTCAACCATCTCCAAGAGGCACTTTTCACATCTTTTGGTCTCAGTTTAGCTTGATAGTATCTTTCCTCAAGAAGGCAAATGTGATCATCGAAGTCTACGTAAGCCTGTGACCTTTGATATAAAGGGCGAATGTCGAAATGAACTCGCGCATGGTGATGTATGAGGTACTCCAGCTCCATGCTGTGGTTTTTGGTCAGGAATAGCCCATGTATTTCCACAATCTTCAAGATTTCATCGGTCCTGACATTTCCACCCATTTCCATCCATCCGTTCTTGACTCAGATCAGCCCAAGAACGCACATGCATGGACCTACACGTGATGATGGCGCTAAATAAGAACTGGATTATCTTGAGTGTGCTAGCCTCTTTGATGTGGCACTATGATGCGGAGATGCTCCAATGGTGCGGTCCTCTTGCACCAACTATAGAGCTGTGTCGTAGACGTCCTGTTGCAGGACGGTGGTGGGGTGGAGACGGGGGACAGTGGGCTGAGGATGGTCCCAGTTGGGGTCTCTCGCTGAGGGCAGTGTTGAAGGAGCCGGCGGCGGCCCGGGAACCACCGGGCTCTGGCCTCTCAGCTGCTCCCGCACATCTTGCTCCAGACTGGGTGGAATAATTAACTGGTCTTCCGGGTCTTGCTGGGCTGGTGCGGCGAAATATCCTGACTTCTTTTTTGGGGCCTCCAGTGCTACCTCAATAATATTGTGGCTGTCCTCGAGAGCCACTATGGAGCCATTAGACTGCTTCTTCCCGAAGAGACTAGAGGTTGAAGGAGACTTCTTCAGATCTGAGATCTCTCGGCCACATACAGCCAGCAGGCAGCCGTTGGTGGCTGAAACCACCACGCTGTTTTGCCGCCGCATTTTGCTGTTGGGATAATCCGAGCCCCTCGAATCATGCCGGCCGTCCAGGTCCTTGGGACTTTCCGGTGGTCCGGAGCGCAGCTGAAAAGCGCAGCAATGGATGTCCACTTCCACCTCAAGCTTGCTCCCGTTTGAGATGACGCCTTCTAAAGGAGCCTCGTCGTCGCTGTCCAGTCCATTGTCCGATTGGTTGCTTGAGAAGGTTGCGCTGGAAGGCTGCCGCTGGAATAGAGCCGGGTGCGCCCCTGGCCCCAAGCTCGCCACTGGCCCTGTGTTACACAAGGTAGCAGTGGGATGCAAACTACAGCGGCGCTCTGGACGAGCCGTTGGTCCCGAAGAGGGGTGCTCGTCCGAAGCTGTGGACCCAGCCTCGCTGCCAACTTCCGAAGCAGACATCTCGCTGTTGAACTCCGAGGCGATGCCACTGCTAGATGACGGCGTGGCTGGATCACCAGGGGACACGGAGATCGGTAAAGGTGGTCCTCGGGCTTCTGCGTTCGAGAGAGGAGGCTCACAAGTACAGCTGTCTTCTCCGATATGCAAAGCTACCACCACTGCTCCCACGTTATCCCGGCACCCATAGCTTTGTGCCAGCGTGCAGAGCTTTTTGGCAGCAGCGCGGGGGTCTCTGACAGCCAGCACAGTGCTCACTGCCTCCTGGTAGGAAACCTTCTGGAAGAGTGCTTTGTTTCCTAGGATCAGGAACTCATCCTGGGAACACAGAGGCTCTGTGTGCACACAGGGTTTGGGAAGCACCCAAGGAAACAGGTAGGAACAGCCAAGTAACCGTGAGCAGCATGTCACCCCACTCACCTTGTTATCCTACAGCACAAGAGTCAAATGATTAGAGACACAAATAAGCTGCTACTTCTCATTCATGGCCATATTTACAATAAACAGCATGATGCATCGGCCAGTTAGCTTATAGACAAGGGTGCGCATTAGTTTTTCAGCCTGGTTCAAGAGCACCTGGAGATTTGGTTTGGTCCTCACACTGCACATAGTGTGACTTTAAATATTAAATATAACTATTAAAAAAATTAATTAATAATAGTGATGATAATATTATTTCACTTTTATTTAGTTTTTTTTTAAATTAAAATAAACAAAATAATAACATGCGATTAATACTATTATATTTTAAAATAAAAAGGCAGTATTAAAAATATCATAAAAATCATTTTCAAACTTAAAATCACAGGAATGAACACAAGGCCAAGAGGTGAGGGATAAAATGCCTTCAATGGATTGCAATAAATGCTGTTTAACGTACCAATTATTCAGCTGACAAAACGTCTCCAAAAAATGAAAAATCAGTAGTCAAAACTCCATAAAAGAGTTTTGAGAGAGATCTAGGAACTTTATACAGCATGTGCCATTATTAAGACTGCAAGTCTATTGCTCACAGCCTGGTTTTCTTCTATGTACAATTCAATATGGCATCTAACCTGACTAAGGTCTATGGGATGACCTGAGAATGAGTCAATACCTCAGTGATAATAGCTTTTGCCAGTTTGACACGCTCCATCTCCTCAGCGCTTTGTTCTAGGCTGAAAACCTTTGAGAGGGCAAGAGGTTGCCCATCACGACACAGTACAGCCTGGCAGGTGCCTACGTTGGCCACAGTGAGGCTGAAGTAGCGGCCAGGCTCGGAGGACTCGTGATGGATGTAACAGAGCAGAGCAGAGGCACCGAGCTTCTGGCCTGCCATGCCAAGTTTCCTGCAAAAATGCACAACGCAATACGAGAAATGCATTTGTTATTCATAGAGCTAAGAATCTAAATTCAAAGCTCTGTCTGAACTATGGGGCATTCAAGTAAGATTCAGAAGTTGAACGGTAAGTTGTAATTGCTAGTGGGTTTTCTTTGAGCCCGAGTTTCAGAGTTGTGGGCGTCAGTGACAAAATATGGTGGATGCAATAAAGGTTTTCTTTTTCAATAAAACTAGCTCCTTTAAAGGGATAGTTCACCCAAAAATGAAAATTGTCATTAATTACTCATCCTCATGTCGTTCCAAACCCATAAGAGCTTAGTTCAGGGGTGCCCAAACTTGGTCCTGGAGGGCCAGTGTCCTGCAGAGTTTAGCTCCAACTTGCCTCAACACACCTGCTGGTAAGTTTCTAGTATGCCTATAAGAGCTTGATTAGCTGGTTCAGGTGTGTTTAATTAGGGTTGGAGCTAAACTCTGCAGGACACCGGCCCTCCAGGACCGAATTTGGGCACCCCTGGCTTAGTTCATCTTCAGCAGCACCATGCGGATACGTAGTTTACGCTTTGATCTGAATGTAAACAATGTATCCGCGTGGTGCTGCTGACACAGAACAGCATACGTTGTTTACGTTCAGATCAAAGCACACAATCTTCAGCAGCACCATGCGGATACGTAGTTTACGCTTTGATCTGAATGTAAACAATGTATCCGCGTGGTGCTGCTGACGCAGAACAGCATACGTTGTTTACGTTCAGATCAAAACACACGCATACGTCGTGATACTCTCCAAAATGGCGCTATAGGGTAACGCGGAGGAGACGAATTGTTGAATAAAGTTGTTATTTTTGTTTTCTTTGCG